ATTGCCAGTTTGGCAGGTTCTAGTTTAATGTAAGATTCAGGTACTTGTTTTCAGTTTATATTTGTTTTTAGTATCTTTCCATTAGTGCTTTTGCTCTTGGGTTTTTTATGCCTTGCCTTTTGAAGTCCAAGGTGAAGTCAGCTGTGGGCCAGAGACTTCACTGATCAGGCTTCTACAAGTACTAGGAAGGGGATTTCAGATGGAGAAGAGAGAATAAACTCATGTATCACCTTCATAGAATGCACACTCTTCAAATATTATTTTGCATGAGCCACTGCTGCCCTTCCCATAGCTTTGTAGTCCAACATCTAACATCAGGGAGCTGTGCTAATGAAAGGAGATGGGGACAGGTCTGGTGCTTTTTGTGGTGTAACCTCTCATTACAAGAATAAAATAACTCATAAGCTATCAGAGCTTGAGCTTTCTAAGTCCACAAAACAGACACATCGTTGATTTGAAGTTTGCTTTAGAATCTATTCATAAGAAATTCCTTCCATCAAAAATAGGATGATCTCTTTCCTTTTTATCATAGTAAGCAAGGCACTTGGGTCTTCCTTGATGGCAGAATCAGACCTGGATTTTTGTCATGTGGGAAAATAAATAAAAATGAGTTGATGCTAACGCCTCAGCTTCCTACACCTTCACATGAACTTCAACCTCTCATATGACCTGACCCCAAAGAGGGATGTGTAGAAGTAGTCTTCCTGGTGTATTTTGGGGTTTGATTTTGTTTTCCTTCGCCTTCTCCAGCTTTCATCCCACCAGTGCCCTCAGAGCTTTGATCCGAAGAGCACCCCATGGTGTTACAGATGTTCTGTTGTTATTTCAGCTCTTGTGCTTGCTTTTGACTGGCAGCTTCTCAGTGGCCTTATGCTGGCATCCCTGCTCCTGCTCACCTTTCCTCTCACCTGTTACGGCACAAGGGTCTTTTTTATCTGCCCTGTGACACCCCATGCTCTAATCCAGGTTTCTTTCACATCTCCTCAGAAGTAATTCTGCTTTCCTGGCTCCCTCTGAGGATCTGTCACCCAGCCTCACTCAGTGCTGCATTATTAAGCATTGAGTAGACACCAAGTGAACTTGGTGGAAACTGTATTCAAAGAGTGTTTCTCTCTCCGTGCGTGATCTGCTGTTCCCCTGGTCTCTGGTGCACTCCCAGAGGTGCATCCACGTGCGTTGGGAATTTGTTTTCTGTGGGAATCATCACTACCTGTGTCCTTGCACACTCCTTGCTCTTTGTCAGATACTCTGGTTTTGTAACTGCCACGGAATCGGTGTCAGCGCTGCATTCGAGGAACACTGGGGACATCCAGTGGTCACATGGGTTATAATTAATTACTCCCGATCCCGTCAGGGAGATCAAATTTCCAAGCTTTCTTGTTTTCTCAGTGTTTGACTTGTTTTTCATCATAGCTCATTATGCTGTAAAGTGCCTGACAGAAGGTTGGGATGACTTGTTTTCTCGTGTTTTTTCTTTTTCTTCCCCCTATGTGATGTTGTTTCATATCTATCAACAGCAGAAATCAGGAAGTCGAGTCTCTCACAGACAAATATCTGGGGATATCTTTTAATTGCTTTTCAAATTGAGGATTTGGAAGAAAGAGTAAAGAAAATGTGAGCTATTCTTTTGAATGCATAACACTGAAATAACTGGTAAATAAATGTTATTGCTAGTGGTCCCAGGGAATTTTATTTTTTTTTTTTGTTTTGAAAGTGATGACAAATAATCACAACTTAAACTTTTCATACAACTTTTTCAAATTACCTCATGCATAATTCATGTGTGCCTTGGTTCATCTGGAGTCTGTAATGAGGCTGAGGAGCCGTCTCCTTCCCTTTCCTGAGTCTGGCAGTCCCTGCCTGTCACGGAAGAAGAGCCTCCCATTTTCCCGACTGAGCGTTTTTTTCTGGAATTATTCTGAACAGGATAGATTTCAAAGTATACAAATAAAAATAGACTTGTTCTGTGGTTGTCATAATAGAGCACAACAGTGAATTCCAGTCCTTTACATAAGTGGATGGAATATGCTTCTTCCCCTGCCCTGTTTAAAGGCTGCTTGTTGTATAATTGTGCAGAGGAACCAACTGTCCTTTGCCCACTCAGTAACTCCAGAGATGGCATGAGCTGATCTTCTGGTTTGTAGCATCAGAGCAGTAAAATGTCTGTCTGCTGTGCATCAGCGTAGTCAACTTTGCTCTCTATTTTAGTTCAGAAATATTAAAAAAGAGTATGAACCCTCTGGGGATTGAGAGAGCACATAAAAATCTACATTCCTTTTTTTTTAATTAGTTTTTTATAATTTTATGTAATATTATATTTCTCTTCATCCATCTGATACTGGAAATACTGCCTTTTTTTGTTGTTGTCAAATAACAAATTAATTTAAACAATATGATTGTTCCTCTGCTGTTTTCTGTTTCCACATTGAGATAAAATTTGTGGAAGACATGGGAGAAATTCTAGTAAAGGTCACTGGCCTAATGATAAAATGTCTTTAGAAGTTTTATGATCCTTTAATGGAGTGCTATTGGACAATTCCTCCTGGAAAAGATCTAGCTCTGTAATAAAGCCTTTCAAAGGAACACTGCAAACTTTGGTACAGCAATTCTTTTCCCTAGGTTTGCATGTGGTACTGTGGGGGCAGTGACCAGCCAAAATGTTTTAAACATTTGGAAAAAATATGATGTACAAACTAAATAAGAGAAAAGTAATGGATTTTAAATATTACCCTGATGAAAGAGTATGACAATTTCAACAAGAAAAACACTTGTACAGAAAAACACTTAACTAAAATGCATTTGTCATCTGACAAGGTTTACTGAATTATCTCCACTTTATTTGTGAAATGATATCTGGCTTATTCCAGTGTACCAAGATGGTTAAATTTCAACAAATCCTTAATTTTGCCTGGGTGATAGAGGTGGTGGGAATGCGAGACTGGAAAAGCTGCTGTGTTATCTCACTTTCTGTTCTTCTCTGCTGGTATTTTCCCATACAAATTCATTTTCAATCTCTGCTTCAAAAATATGGATAAATACCATAAGCTAACTAATGGATGTGACTGAATTTATGATAGAAGTGAGCATTTACATAGCCTAATTTTTAAAAACAAATTTCTCTTTAGGCCAGCCCTGTGCCCTTTGGTGGAAATCTTCCAAACAGTGACTCATTCCTACTGATACTGAGTTTTGAAACAAATGCATTTCAAAGGTCTGAATAAATGTTATGCATGTGGCTCTTTCACATTGCTGACAATGTGATGGTTACTATTTCCTTAAAATAAAATGGAATTTTGGATGTTTGAGGGGATGCTCAGGAAAGATCAGGGCTGTACATCCTGCGTAGCAGGCCATTAATCAGCTCGGCAGCAGAGCTGAGACTAATGTGGCAGCTCACCTGTTTCCTCCTCCTCCTCTTCTTTCTGGAGGGAGCTGCTGCTTCTACTTAATGTCTCCAAACAACCTACAGTAATATGCATTTGAAGTTCTGCCAAAGGAAAAGTGTAACAGGGTTTGACAGTAGTAGCGGATATCATGAAGATGGTGGGGGGGTGTTTTGTTTGTTTTTTCATTTCTTGAGATGAGCCTTTCCGTTTTTGCATGAAGTTTTGCTTGATTAATGTATTCATTAAAGAGGAGTGATGGTAATGATTAAACAAAAACATCTTTAAAATGCAGAGTTCATTTCAACCCATTTGGTTTTGTTGCACACAAATTGGATTGGCATTGCATCCTGCACAGCAGGTACTCCACTTGAAATCAAAGACAGATGCTTTTATAGGATTAGAAAGGATATCTTGAGGGGTGGAGGAAGAGATTGAGGTTGGGGGCTTCTGTTGCTTTTTCTTGTACTTTTTAGTAATAATGTTAAATGAATAATGATAACACTGCTGTTTTGTCTGCCTTGAGTACTAATAATATTGTTTGCTTGCAATTAAAAGGAAACAAAAGCTTCATTGTAACTGAAAAAAATCAAGAATACTTACCTGAGAATCTTTCCCTCATAAATACTAATGGCACCTGAGTCTGTTTGAATTTTCATGCTAAATAGCTCTGAATGAAAATATTTGCCTGCTGAGTCATGCCAGGCTGCCATATTATTTTTTTTATTATTATTATCTGACAGTGTATGTCTTTTAAGAGCTTCATGGATTGCTCAAGCTAGTCTTTGCTCAAACAGAAACCTGATGAGGGAGCTGCAGCTTGCAGGGGATTGCAGCTGGTTTAAAATAAATGCAATTGAAGCATGTCTCTTAAAAGAGAGATCTTGAAGGCCAAGTTGTGAGCAGAACTGCTGAAGGTTCTCAAATGCCCTGCAGCCAGTTGACTGCTGCAAAGAGGGGGAATGGTCTGGGGTCACTTCTATGGCTCCAGCAGTGCCTTCCAATTTAAAATGCCCATTTTGGCTGCCCTTTAAGGGGTGTGATCTACAAGACTAACGAGCACCCTTTGGAAATTGAGCTCCGGTGAAATATCACCTTCAGCACCCAGATCCCATTTGTCAGCATATTATAAGCCAGCATTTCCCACAAAACATTTTGAGATAGTTTGGCATTAAAATTTATCCTATCCTCATATTGGCTTTGGGGCTCCTGAGTTGGAATACCTTCCTTGCAATCTGCTGTGTCTAATCATCCAGGATTTCTGTACATTACAGCCATTCTGATAGCGGTTACTGTAGCTTGCACTATTCACTGTTTTCCCCATTCCATCCACATTTATGGCTTTACAAAATATTTTTTATTTAATCTCCTTTTAAAGACATAATTCAAAGAGCTTCTCTTGTCTCTTGACAATACAAAGCACCAAAAATGTTGAGTTTTCCAAAGGAAAATATAAAATGCCTCTTTTTTAATACTGTAGTATTTGTAACCAAATCTTAGCCTCAACTGTACAGAAGAGAGTTGAAGGGAGGAGCAGCTGGTTAAGAATTTTCACTTTTTTTAATTGTTGCTGTTACTTTCCTTAATGTGTCCAAAGATTCAGATTACATTCAGGGTTTACTTCTCTATATATTGTTCAAATACAACAGATGGAGTGTCTCTAACCTCAGGAACTTGTCAGTGCCTTATGAAACAATAAAAACAGAATTCTGAGAAACAAGAGAGAAATATCAGGTATTCCAAGCAATTAAAATTTTTCTTCAGCTAATGTCATTTGATAACATCAATTCATGTTGTTTGAGTTTCATCTCAGCTTTTGGTGAATACTGTCAGTTCTAGATCATAAGAATCACGAGTGGACTCTCGTTCAGGATTTAATATCTGGTTTCATTCTGCTGCCTGGTTTGACATTGTCTTTTTTGAGGATCTGAATGTGTGGCATGACCTATGGGATTTTTCAACCATAAAGGCCTAAAATTGCCATAAGAGTTTTTTATTGTTGTTATTGGGTTTGGGTTTTTACATTTCCTACATTTTGTCTGTAATGTATATGGTATAGAGAAGATAAGAACCAAATTTAGATTTTTATGATCAAACCATGGTAAGGTGTGGCATTTTGTCGGTGATTTTGCTGCTGAAGAAAAATCCTGAAGTCTAGGAATCTGCAAATTATTGCCCCCGACTCTTAGCTGACTTTACTTTCAAAACCGATCTCTTCTGCAGATTTAACTTTATATTTTTCTTTTCAGGGTTTGCCTAGCACTAAATTTCTCTACCCATGTTCTGTGTGAACTTCTGTGTTGGTATAGTCAATTCTTGACCAGGTTGGTTTAGTTTTCACAGTAAAGGAACTTAACCTGTATAGTTCAGCTAGTCTGGACCAAGGGAATAAATCAATAAGCTGCTGTTGCATTTTTGTGGTCTTGCTTGAGAAATAAACTGCCATTTAACTACGTGCAAGGCAATAACTGTGTCTTTCATAATACCTCTCTTATTCCAGTCTTAAATCAACCTACAGATTCCAGCAGAAACCATTCTGAAAATGAATAGACACCTGGAAAGCAAAAATATAGGTCAGGATTCACAGAAGCGTGTTTTCTAATCCTAATATTTTTGCGTAAGAGTAAATTTGCTTTTATTCTGCCTCCATTGTTGGCATATTGTTGGTATATAAGCTCTTTAATTGGTTGAGACTTTAAAGAGCACTCTAATGAATGCTTGCTTTCCATTGAACTTTTGAGAGAGAGACTTATGATGCATTTTTTTCAAAACCATGAGCAGAAAAGCAGTTTGCTTACTCAAAAGCAGTATCCCCATTGAAGAAAGATGTGGTGTTTATCATTCAGCAATCAACTTAATTGCCTTCCATTATGAAATTGGCTTGGATTTTTGGGTTTCCGCCATAACAGTTTTTAATAGCACAAATGAATTTTTCATAGAATGAGAATGGAAATAAGTTCCAAAATGATGAATTCAAAGACACATTTTTCCACTGTGCATTCTTCTGTGCTCCTGCTGGAAATCATCGAGTCGTATGTTGTTATTGCTTGTCAGAAGACCCATCCAGATGGGAAGTCCTTCTATTTTATTTAGCAGAGGCTGTAGGAAGCCAAAAATAGGGAAGTGGAGACAGCCTTGAGATCTTCCAAAATTGAATACAAGAGGAATGTAATCAAACACCCATGAGCACTTAAGTTTTACTTATTTCTGACTTCAGTAGGAGCTCAGGTATATATGTAGGGTCATGTTACTGTGAGCCTCATCCCCGAGCCGCAACACATTTTAATGCTTATTTTCTCCATTGTAAGGGAGCATATACACAGGTCAGGCCTTCCTCTCATCTTGGAAACAATGGCCACAACAGACCCACAGCTAAGAAAACCAAGAAACTAAATCCACAACACTATGTTGGTGAATGGGGTTGTAGGGATGCAGGTAAACAGACAGATTTGGGGAGTTTGTTTCTCAGAAGTTCTTCCCTCCTTTTGCCTCGTTCTTTCTGCTTCCCTCTGCTTGAGAACCCTGTGGTTCCTCTAAGGTTGGTCTGAGCCCATAGTAATTGTAAAAATTATACCTGAGGGGGCAGGAGAAGCAACAGATGCAGTGTGGGGGCTTTCCTGGAGGATCTGCTTAGTAAGGTGAAGTCACTAAGTATCTGAAAAACAAATAAAAAAACAAACAAACTTCACTTTTATGAACCTGGAGCACTATTTGAAAACAAAATATTTACCTCTTTCAATATGTCTTACATGAAAGCAGCAGGATCCCTTTCCTCATAGGTACGAAAATAACTTCTGCTGCTATAGAGGGTTTTTCCCATTGGAAGAAAATCTACATTAGTTTATGCTGATTTAACTGTGACCAGTTGATGTTTAATTGCATCACAGCTATTTAATTTTAAAAATAAGTTAAATAACCCCTTAGCTTTCTGTGCCAGAAATCAAATTTTGTTTAGCTGTTGTATTTTGCTATAGGATCTATTCTTCACAAACAGCATCTCAGTACATATTTAGTGTATCATTTTCTCAGTCTTTCTCAACTCCTGAGGTCTGAATATTAACATATCACTAAAGTTAATTTTTACAGATATTCAGGAAATTTTCTAAAAGGAAACATTTTGAAGATGACATTGTGTTAAAAAATCCAACACAGCTTTGCAGTGCTGCTTTGGCTTTGTGAGCATTGATTTCCTGGTTGGATTTGTTGATTGGATTGGGGTTTTTTTAGCTAGTTATTTTATTGTGCATTTTTTTTAATACCATTAATTTTCATGGCTATGTTATTGCAAGACTTTTGCAGAGGGTGTATTACTCTAGGCATTTACTATTTATTAATTCTAAGTAAAATTTTAATTTCCTCGTATCTCCCATGTAAACTGGAGCGACAAAAGCAACTGTTGTTATTGAATTTCATGTTCTTTATTCCAGAAGAAAAGAAAAAATAAAGAAAGCTTTACTGGGATAAAGTTTGAAGGGTTTTTTGCTGGATATTCTTTCTTGGAAGACAGAAGTTGTCGTAAGAAAGAAGAAAATAGATTGCATGAAATTTCAAAGTTAAAAAAAAATTTAAAAATTTCAGATTCTGTGTTTGTCTAAACTTCTCTAAAAATTAATTCTGAAACTAAAGTACTTCAGGAATCTTATAATCTAGGAAAATCAAACTGGTATCCAACACACGTTAGTAGATGCTGACTTCTTCCAGTGGTAACTGCTGTGTGTGTTTGTAGCCGTCAGGAGATCATGTGGATGCATTGTCTGATAATAGCTTTATTTTTTACTTACCTGTCAAATTTGAAAGGATGAATTGATGGGGTATGTGGTTTAAACGGGATGGATGTGGATGCATACAGCACATGTCTGTTAAGGAAAGTTGGAAATGTGTGAGTCAATTGTATATTGTTTTGTAGTAGGGTAAATTTTTAATCACATTGCATATGTACCTTTTCGGTGAAGGAAGTAATTGATATTTGGGACACAGAGGGATATAAATATTTTATTCTGTCTCCTAAAAATAAAAGGAGCCATGTGGGTTCTTTCATGAACTTATATGTTTATAAGGTTTAAGATGAAGGAATTTATTCATGAATGTCGAGAAGCAAAAATACCATCAGCAACAACAGCTGTCTAAGTCAGTTGAGACGGTAGTGACTTACATGGTTTTGTTTTAGATCTGCTTTCACTTTTGAGGGAAGGGAGCTTGTAAACACTCACACCTTTGAAAGTAAATAAAAATCTCAGTAGGTGGTGACACACCTCCTTTGCTTTCACTTACTAAATCCCATCACCAAGTCCTGCATTCCAATCTCTCTTTGGCACTGTGGTACAGAGTTACCAATATGAGCTGCAAGTCTGGATTTTTTGGAAGGAACTTATTTTCTGAGGCACTAATTGGTCTTTTCTTGACAGAGCAAAAGTGGCTCAAGCCAACTGCATCATACACGGCGTTCTGTTCTTTAAAACTGCATCCACTGGGACTTTTCACAAACTGAGAAACCTTGTTATGCTGAAATCATGAGTGGAGCTTCTGGACACTGACGTGACAGTAGCATTATGTACTTAATGTGGCTGTTGGTTGTTTTTTTAAAGCTTTTTATTCAGGTATTCAAAACCAAGGAAACATCAATGACGAATTTTATTTAATCACGCAGCTGAGAGCTGTGCCAAGTTAGGTGCAAGTGATGAGTACTAGGGACACTGCTGCACATTACCTGGGCAGAGAGCTTTGTACCCACCATAAGCTAGATTCAGGAAGAAGATTCAGGAAAAATGTGATTAAAACAAGAAGCTGAAATATTGTAGAAAAAAACCTCAATTTGCTGCATTTCCCTCTTTATTTAAAAATTAGCTATTAATAATCCCCATCTCTGCATGTGCAAATACAGTAGGACAAACCCCAGTCTGACCTGGAGAGGAAAGGCAGGATGGGTGCAGATGTGCTGGGCAGGTGTTAACATAATATTGAATGCTGTTGGCAGGGGATTGTCAGACCTCTCAGAGCCCATCCTCTGCACTCAAATCCCGTATGGTTAAACAGATGATAAATAAAGAATTATTTTGAAAAAATCACCAAAAGCAAGTCTAATAGGTTCTCTAAATCTGATCAGTGCATTGCATTGTCCTCGTCCCTGTTTATCCCACTTTGATAATGGTATCATCAGTCCCTCATAAAAATATTTAGCTTAAAATCTGTGGTTTAGCATCAGTAGTTTGGTATTGTGGTTGTTTGGTTCCCTTCCCCCCACTTTGTGCTCCTTGCTGCAGGTTGAGCGCAGCACATTGTTTAAAAAGCCTGTGGAAATATAGATTGGGTGATCTGTCTCTTTTAGACCATTCAGTGATGAAATTTCTACTGTACTACTTTATTGTGACATTATCTGACTAGATAAAGCCATTTTCTGTCTGAGAAGGGAAAGAAGCTGGCAGTGTCTACATAAATCGTGTTACTCATTTCATGCCGAGACAGGGGTTCCCAAAGGGAGATCCTCTGGGACACGTCCCTCCTCAACAGAAAAACAAACAGAGGCACAGCCTGTTTCTGAAGGATGGGGCTGATCACTTTTACAGTGTTGCTGTTATTACAATAAACAGCTATTGCAGTTTAGTTTAACAGGTATCCCAACAGCTATTAAAAAGTAAAGAGTACATGAAAGAAATACAGCCTCCTCCTGCTCCCTGCTTTCCCCAAAGCACTTGGCATCACCCTTGGGCTCCAATTGCAGCAGAATGACTGCATATCTTAAAATAATGTAATGTGGGTTTGTTCATGCCAAAATTGCTGCTTTGTCTGGCCCCTTTGAATACTATTGTTCAATATTAGTGTGGCAGCTGTCAGATCTGTTTGTGAAAGCAGCACCAGCTTTTAATAGCTCTTTATTTTGTGAGCTGCTCACCCATAGATCCTAACAGACTTCATAAAAAGAAGGTAAAATTCTTATCCTAGTTTTGCAGATGGAGGACTGTGGTCTTCAGAGATAGATAACTGAATAGGGGAGCTGGACAGGATTTCTGGCAAAAGCTATTTTTTGTCAGGAAACATTGATTCATTAAAGCTCTTTTGCAGAAGCATATGCTTTCATGAAACTCCTGGCATGAAGTTTTCCTGAAGCGTGGAACAGAATTTAAAGACAGATTTTCTGTGCTCGCAGAACAGTGAACACGGACCTTCCTCTGTGGCTGTGAGGGGGCCTGGGTCACCCAGCTGGGCTGTTCAGCTCCTGCCAGAGCTCCTGTGTCCTCCACAACAGCGTGGTGTTATCCAGGGATGCTTTCCGCTGTCCCCTTCAGATGCTGAGACCTCTTGGTGGGCAGGGAGTGGGGAAGGCAGCGATTTTCCAGAGTCTGCTTTGAAAGACCTGTGATCTGCTCCTCTTCTGCGGGCTGTCCAGGGCTGGCTTTGTGATCTCACTAGGCAAACACCTGGAATAACTCCGGGGTCAAATGCAAAGCAGTATAGAACAGTGGAAAGTTGCATAGACTGAGGAGTTAGAAGAATTTTGTACTTGACAGAAAAAATACTGGTAGTTACTGGGAAGAAACTACTGACAGCATCCTAGAAATCAGTAGCTCTGGCTGTATGGACATCCTTACTGCTGTTCTGAGCCTCTAGAAAGAGGCTATTACTCTTCTGGTGGAGTCCTTGATCCGCAAAGAACAGCCGCAGCTCCAACAATAATATTCTGCACTTTTCTAGTTACTGCTACGCAACTCAGAACTCCTTTACAGAGCCTGCATGAAACATCCTGATGTGTCTGAGCAGCGCGTAGGATAGTCAGTGTTTTTACAAGTGGGGGAATTGGAGATCTGAAAGACTGAGTGATGTGCCCACTGTCACATGGGAGGTCTGTTGTGCGCCGGAGACTGAGAACAGAAGTGTCGGCTCCTTCAGCATGCGGAGCGCGCTCACCTGTGCTTAGCACTGCACTACAGGTCTCCTGGTGCGCTGTTCCCTGCCTTGCCCACATTACCACATCCCCACCTAGAGGCTCAGTACTCCAGGAAGAAATTAAAATGTAAAAAGGAAAAAAAAAAGCTACCTTTTCTATCATAGCTGGTTTGGGTTTGTTTTTTTTTTTAAGCACAGCCTTTTTATTTATTTCTTTTCTTTATCTGTGTGTGCATGCCCACTTTGTTTTCCAGCTCTATCCAAAATACCCAGAACTGTGTAGTCGGCTGATTGGTGTCTTCTGGGGTCTTTTCTCCTTTGATACAATGCTGCTGGCTGTTCTGTACCTGCTACTTTATATCCTTCCCCCTCTCATATATAGCTACCTATATCATATGGAAAGGATCAAACAGTTTTGATTTTTCCCAATGATACTGAGAAATGCAATATTTATTACAGGTTACTTGCAGAGAAGAAGAAAGGAGAATCTAAGAGTGTTCCCTTCAGCTGTGTTTCTGTCAAGGCACGGTGTACGTCCCAGTCCACCTCTGTTTTGCTCAGTGTGTTAGTTCTGCTCACTACGAGGTGTAATGCAGCAAGACTGATAAAGTTGGTTGCCCACTGGCCATGCGAAGGAGGAAAAATAACCAAAGCTGGTTGTTAGTTATCCCCAGTAAAGTGCTAAACAAATCTCCCAGCAGCTAAACTCCCTTCCCTTTTTATTACTTACTGTACCTTGTAAATCAAATATTTATTAACTGAAAACAGCTTTGC